CTTCAAGCTACTACCATGACAACAGGCCTTCAAGCTACTACCATGACAACAGGCCTTCAAGCTACTACCATGACAACAGGCCTTCAAGCTACTACTATAGCAACACCAATTACCTCTTCTAAAAAGATGGTGCCTTCTCTTGCAAGCATTATGAAGGAGCAAAAGGCACAGTCTCTGGAAGAACCAGTTGATTTCCCAAGTCTACCTGCTGGACCATCACCATCTACCAAACCCAGACATTCAAAGATGAGAAACCCCAGTCATGATGTAGTAGATGAACAACGCTGTTTAGATACTCCCGGCCCATTTGAAGAATCATTTAAATATGCTTATGATACGCCACTAGCAAGTTCTTCCCTCAAGAAAAGTGCCAGTACGAAGATGTCATCTCAAGAAATCAACGAGATAGCAAAGCAGGTTTGGGAGAGCATTTCAGCTGATGGTGAGCATGTATCATTGGAAATAGTCAAAGTCAGGCTTTGTAAAAGGCTTGGAGTAAAACAGCTTAATGAGTTGGGATACAGAAAACCTGACATAGACATCACAGTTCTCAAGGATTTAAGTAGACTTCTTTGCAAGGTAAGATATGATAATAATTGTTTTTAAGTTCTCCCATTTCTTTAAGACATTTTTTTGTGGTCAGTATATTCTTCTTAAATGGTTAAATGGTAAACCTATTTTACAGTCTCATATTTGCAACATACATGTACAGTACAGCTCGCAGGGATGTTAACATGTCCACGCCTGATTTCCGTGGGCAGTCATTATTGCGTCCAATATCTTTCTAAAGTATGCAAGTATGCAAGCTATGATTAGTCAAGAACTATGCTTTATTACAGTCAAACTGGCTCAAGTTTATGTTGCTAATGCCATCTTCATGCACATTGGACATGCATGCTGTGTGCATTTATAAAGCACTCGGGGATTGGCAGAACATGAGAGAAGTGTTAGGAGAAGCACGTCATGTAACAACACTTCTCAAGTGTTCTACCAACTCCTAAGTGCTTTATAACTGCACTCCGCACAGGAAACAAGTTTTTTGTTGCTTTTATAAAATACAAACTACAATAACCATTATTTTAGATTGGAATGATGCAGCTGAAAGTGCACACTCATGCTGTGTGCTCTCATAAAGCAGGTGCGCCCAACCAATCAGAATGCAACATTTATAACAGTTATTTGATAATGAATATTACAACATATTTTTTATTTGTTTAAAATAAATAAAACAGTTTTTTATAGTGCCCCTTAGTACTTAGGAAGCTTTGAAAGCACTCAAGTTGTAAGTTCTGTTTGTTAAATATGGTCATACTCTTCTTTATTGTATGTTGTATAGCTTGATCTGTATTGCCGTGCATATGTAATGGTACACAGCATATCAACATTAAGTGAACTTGGACAAGGCATGGCAAGACTCTTGGACAAGAAAGACTTCCTTGATCTGCAAGTTGGTCCGCTAGTCAAGCTACCTGTGGTATATGATCTGTTTAAAGCACCATCAGAGGATGTCATGATGCATCAAGTCACTACTGTACACATACTGAAGCATCTTAACCAGTACTTGACCAAGGAGGAAAAATGGACTAGCAAGGTTGATTTACAGGACTTCATGCAGTACTTGTGTGATAGATATCAGTGTTCTACTCCCTATGAACTTGGTGTACGGATACAGAGTATASGCTTGGGAATATCTGTAAGTACTGTATGAACTAGAGCAGTTTTTGTATGACTGTGAAAAACTCAGTGCCGTGCCGTGACCGTGATGTTTTCTAGAATTTTAATTGGCTGATTTTTTTCTCGTGCAATGTGATTGGTCTGAAAGAGCCGTGACTTTGGYGTGACYGTGTTCGTGCTGTGTTTATGCCGTGTTCTGGGTATTTGATTGGATGGAGAGTAAATTCTCGTGCAATGTGATTGGTCTGGCGTATCCCTTGCCGTGTCATGGCCATGTTTGTGCTGTGAATTTTTCACAGTCATACAAAAACTGCACTATAACTAGTGAGAAGTTTTAGGAGAGGCATGACTCAGAGAATTGCTACTTCAATACTTACAGTATTTGAATGTGTACAAAATACAGAGTTTTGGCCTGGGTTCTTTCAGTACAATGCACAACTTTTAGTTTTTTTTTTGTTCAGGGTAGAACAGGTAAATAGGAAATCTTAGCCTCTATAAGATGTCTACTGTCTATATTTATTTATTAATAGTATACTGCATATTTTAATGATAAAATGTTTTGAATCATATTATAAATAGGTGTTAAAGAGAGCTCAGAAGTCTCAAAGTGAAAAATCCAAGGAGGTAGAACAAGAATTAGCAATTGACATGGAAAGAGAAATAGAAAAGAGGTGCAGGAAAATCAAAGATGATCTGCTGGGATCTTCACATGGTGATGAGAGAAGTGTCCTACACAAGCTCTTGGGTTCGTCTGTAGTTGATATTCTCACCGTAGTCTTCAATCATTGTAAAGACATGTTCAAACCAAAATCCTTTGAAAAGGTTAACAAGTTTCTGAACACAGTGACCTCAGAGAAATCATTCAGGGATCTGTTCAATTTGGCACTTCACATGGGCTGTAAAGATATTGTGAAGGATGTGTTGAAGGACTATGGATCAGAGCTCTTAGAAGAAGAGAGAAAAAGCAGGACACAAGAAACAGCTTTACCACCAAAAAAAGGTATGTACAACTGCTTGAGCTTGTTATTTATGTTGTTGCGAACCAGACAACTTCAGATGAGGAAAGCATAAATGGTGTAGGGAAGCATGGGTGGTGTAGGGAAGCATGTGTGGTGTAGGGAAGCACGGGTGGTGTAGGGAAGCACGGGTGGTGTAGGGAAGCATAGGTGGAGTCCACTCTGAGTCATTAGGGTTAACCCTAACCCAAAGTTTAATAGACTTAGATAAGATTAAGCATATGCCTTATCTGATTTTTGGGCTGCCATCTTTTGATTAATTGAAGCCAAAAATCCAGATGTCTGGGAGTTGTTGAAGTTATAGAAAAGGGAAAAGTAAATATCATTTAAAACATAGAATTGTGATAAAATAGTTACATGTTTGTATGTTCACTAATGAAATTATTTTAAATTAATGTTTACCATAGGTCAATTAATAAAAGAGGCAAAAGATTGGTTAAATGGGGCTGAAAAATTAGATCTCTCTACGTTGGCAACAATTGAAACCAGACTTTTAAATCGTTTCTCTGGATTTGATGAGTTTTCTGCATTTGGTTATGGTACATGGTTGGAGTTTTTGAACAGTGAAAAAGAGCTTTGTAAGTTACTTGAGGATAAAGGTGTATCAGCTTGTGGTGGATCAAGGAATAGCAGACATGAGGTGGATTTGAACAGTGTGTTGGACTTCATTATTCAATGTGGAACAAGAGCAACTGAGGTAGGAAGGAGAATGGAAGGGGTTATTACAGGTGTATTTGAAAGGGAGTACACTGAATTATTCAGAATTGAAACAAGTAATTACAGTATAAATAAATAATAATTTTGCTCATAGTAAAGCATTTTCCCCATTTTACTAAAATTGTTTGTACTTTGTGTACACATTGCAGGATTTGGTGGAGCATGCATTGTGCAGTCATTATCATGTACCCAGTGTAACAGACCTCGGTGCTAAATCTTACAAAACCCTAGCAAAACAAGCCCTTCAAAGAAAACATATACAACAATCTGTGGTCTATGAATTAGCACTTGTTTGTAAAGATGGTGACACGAGCATCCTTCATCATCTACATCCAAACACTACTGATAGAGCAAAACCAAGAGCTGGTTTATTAGGATGGAAGAGTGCTGATGATGCAGTGAGGTCACTAGCAAGTGCACCATTACTAGCCGACATGAAGGAATGGACACAATGGGATGCAGTATTCAAACCATGTTTAGGTGATTTGAAGCTCTTTATTGCACAAGTATCTCTCAAGAAACGTGATGATGGTATCCAACTTCAAGCCTTAGAGACTGAAGAGGGACGACTTTTGAAAGTAAACACTGATGTGAGCCCAGATGATCTTAAAAAGTCTGTTGATAAGAAAGATGTTATTGAGACAACAGGTATTCTCGTTTCCTTGGTAATCAAATATGGTGGTATCCAAGCAACGCCTCTTGCATTGATAGTCAACCACATGAGATCTGCATTGTTGGCGTTGGCATCAACTGATCAAGCGGATGATGGTCAAAGATGTGCTCGTTTTGTTCTTCATTGTTTGTGTAGGTTACCTCATAGGATATGTGTTGCTGTAGCATCTAAGGTATAGTCATTTAATGATAATTAGAGTTTTTTAACCATCACATGATGGCAGCCATGACAGGATGAGGCAGAAAAAATTGAATCTGATGTACAATCTAGTTTACATTAGGAGGAACTCAGTTTCCCAAGGAGAAAAAGCTCTTCCGTCATAGCAGCCACCACGTGATGGTGCAAATTCACCATTGATTATTTAACTCTGGTAAAGTAAGGATACCATTTATTGATGTTGTCGTTTTTGTTGTAGGTATTTTTAGAACCCCTAGGAGCAGCAGTAGGAACAACTTTGTCAAATCAACTTGTCCTGTCCTGCTGTGACAGCTATCAGCAGAGGTCCTGTCTTCATCGGCTGGGTCTCTCTCTTGGTCACACAGAATGGATTGAAGACTTTAAATCTGTTATGACTGGTGAAACAGAAAATCAAGCATTAGAAGAAGAGAGAAAAAAGATATTCCAGGAGTTGCGGCCAGTGGCCATCATCAAACCAGTGACAGCAGAACCAATCAAACAAGAAGAAGTAGAAGTAGAAGAGGAGGTACTGGAGAAGGAGGACACACTAGTGAAGGTAGTTGCCTTAACTTTATCAAAATTTTAGAGGTGCTTTAGTGAAGAAGTCTCACAAATATTTGACTAATGACTAATATTTTAGTTTATCATTTCTATGTATTTTATTAATTAATTTAAATTCTGATAAACACTTTCGTGCAGCATTGCTATGTGCTGATCAAGAAAATAGTTGTTTACAGAGAAATCACACAATAGACTACTTGTAAAATATGCTATAAATGGTCTATCAAAAAAAATCAATAGAGTACATATGTAAGGGTATACTTGATGGTAGTCTATTTCCATGTTGAGATCTAAATCATGTTGGAGCAGTGAAAACAGTCGTAAAATAACCATTGATGGTTTTCTTGATTCAAGGAAGTGATTCTGGAAGAAGATCAAGTGATTGAATTCTCAGCAGCAGGTGAAACACCAACACCACAAGGTAGAGTACTGGTACACTCACATGTATTACCTAGTCATAGAATGTTCATGCAATGATACAATCACAGGCAATGATCATTTGTTTTAAAATTGACCATGTAAGCTGAAGAAGAAGACTGATTGTGACTGGTATCTAGATTAAGATGCCATTAACTGAGTAGATGTATTTCTACACTGTACAGGTGCCATTGAATGCAGTCATCAACAGGTTTCAATAGATGAGGAAGAGGAAGATGATAATTCAGAACAGAATCCCTGTGAAGCCTTGATTGAAAGCATTCGCAAAGAGGAGTTTGGAATTGGAGTTACTCTTGGTGAAGAGGAAAGCAAACTTGTGCAAAAGCAGCGTGAACGTGAAGGAAGAAGTTTACATCGTTTATCTTCAGAACTTTACAGCAGAGATACACATTTTGTGTTGGAATTGATCCAGAATGCAGATGACAACACCTTCACGACTGACTCACCTACTCTAGTCTTTGTTATTGAACCCCACATGGTGGTTGTTCTCAATAATGAAGTAGGCTTCAAAGAGGAAAACATCAGAGCTTTGTGTGATGTAGGAAAAAGTACCAAGGGTGCCCATCAATATGGCTATATTGGTGAGTAAACATTGTATTTTGTAACACAGGTTTTTTTAATCGCCAACTAATTTATAATTCTCTTGGTTTTGCACAGGTCAAAAGGGTATTGGATTCAAGTCAGTTTTTCGTGTGAGTGATCGGCCTGAAGTACATTCAAATGGATACCATATCTGTTTTGATGCTAACAGTGGCCCATCGGGATACATACTTCCACACTGGATAGATGATCACAAGATGATGCCATCAGTTAATGGGAGTCAACAACCATCTGACATACTAAATGATCTACAGCTAGATCGGTAAGGAAATGCCTAGCTGTTGCTCTTGTCAAACTAAAGTGTTTACTTTAAGGACAGCATGCACTGCTTTGACGCTGTCTCTCTTAATGCTGCACATTTGTAGTTTCTGCCTTGGGTTGTGGGCTAGATTCCCGACTTAGCCACATACAATGAATGTGAGTTGAGTTTGTATGATTGTGTTGTTCTCTCCCTTGCCCTTGAGTTTTTTTCCCAGGTTCTCCAGCTTTCCTCCCTCCATAAAAATTTAATTCAACATGTGAGTGGAGTGTTGTATGTTGTAAATAGTTAAGTAGTCAGTGGTAGTGTGTAGGAGTGTACCTGGGGGAGGAGTTGAGTGTTGTATGTTGTAAATAGTTAAGTAGCCTTTGGTAGTGTGTAAGGAGTGTACCTCAGGGAGGAAGGAACCTTGCCTGGTGGGTAAAGTTTGTAAAATATACAATTTTGCTATTTTCATATTTGGTACTATAATTAAACTTCATTTTTAAAAACTGCCAAAAAAATCTTACAAGAAATCCTACATTAGCTGGTTTAATGTGCACAACATGTAACATGACATACCAGAACATCTGTTACGTTGGGATCTGTAATGTTATGAATAAATAATATCTTACAGTTGGATGACAAGAATAGTTCTTCCACTGAAGGAGGAATTTCATGGTGACAAGAAGAATTCATTGTCTGCACGCTTTAATGATGTTCATCCTTCTTTACTCCTCTTCCTTCATCGTCTTCGCAAGATCATCTTGGCCAAAAAGGTACCTAGAGGTTATTCTTCATCATACCTTGTCACGCCAGTAGGCACTAGAGGGTGTTGCTGGGGTATTATGGCTAATAAAAAGAATATGGATCAAAATTATTTCTCCAGGGAGGAGGGGTTGGATCAATGGTAAACCCTTTCCCTTTTCAATAGCTCAATTTCTGACCACAAGGCCTATTCATTTGGTGCTCTATAAGGTTATCATTTTTATAGCAAATATCGTACAAACTACTAAAGATCTAGCTATGGCCTTGGCAGCAAAATAACTTTCACTTGCTCCATTGTGCTTGAGAGCTACATACAAATATTATTTTAAAAGGTAGAATTTTGTATTCTTTAGAATAAAGTTCAACAGATGACAAGACAAGATCTTGGTGATGATATTGTTGAAATAAGTGATGGTAATGGAACAAACCATTGGTTAGTGGTAAAGAAACAACTGAAAGTAAAGGAGGTAAATAAATAATATATGATATTATCTAGCAAAAAATATTTTTGCTATTCACCACCACAATTACATCAGCAGCACAGTGCAAGGGGAATGAACTAAAAGTACAGTATTTGAAGGTGCAGGCGAAGATGACCCAGGAGCACAGCTCTAACCATTAGTTAGGGTCAGTTTGGCCCGGGGGGCGGGGGGAAGTACTACCACCCCAACTTGGGTAGGGGTGTGCCGCCAGGACCTCAAAACCCTGACCCTATCCCAGACCTAAAATTTTGATTTTACATACCCTACCCCAGACTAAAACTAAGATACACCCTATCCTAGTCTACACCTCGGTCATATTACATTTTGTTGACATGCAAAAGACCGTTATTCAATAGATTGCAATCAATATTTACTAACGTTTTTTATTGTTTTCGTGACGGCAGAAAGGGCGTAGCCTATTCGCCAGATAAAAACAACCAAATCGTTAACCCTATCCCAGACAAAATGTCAAAAAATGATACCCTATCCCAGACCCAAAAGCCGAAAAACCATACTCTATGGGGTGGCACATACCTGTATTGCAAATATAAGGGAGTACCCCCTCCCCCCGGGCAGTTTGCCAGGTTGAAGGAAAAGCTGGAGGGCCAGAAAACCCCTCTGAGTCAGAGAACCAACCAACTCAGCTGACATGGGGTGACTGGGACCCAAACTGTAAATCTCAGATGTGTGATCCTGAGTATACAAACCCATTACTAACACCAATATTAATAATAACATATATTTAATTTAAGGCAAGAGAGAATGTAGAGATGACAGAACTAGCCTTAGCATTTCCAATGACTGAACAAGAGAAGATGTCAAGTAGTGAGCTTCATGCGGTAAGTGATATCATGATATTTGAATAAAATATGAATTCCATCATGGTCCATCTTTCATTAATAATACACATTAGAAATTTTTTTCCAATTAAACTAATCTAAAAAAAGCTCATCACAACCGAGTCATCTTCATCATCATCACGTATCATTATATCATCACTGTCATCATCATGACAATCAGCATCATGCATCATCATCTTCAGCATTGTAACAATCATCATCATCATATATCATACTGTATATCATTATATCATCACTGTCATCATCACCATGACAATTAGCATCTCCAATATTGGCATCATCATCACCATCATCACTTATCAGCATTATTAATCATAATCATCACCATATTATTATCAAAGCATGGGTGGCGTAGCGGTGAGGGTGCTTGCCTCTCACCAATGTGACCCAAGTTCAATTCTCTGACTCGTTTATCTTCTGATTCTATGCGTTGTTTACTTACAACAAGCTGCTTTCCCCTTCGTTTTTCTCGTAGAAACCCTTACCAGTACAGAATGTGTTTGCTTACCTTCCCTTGAGAAGCTATGGATTCAAGTTTATTATTCAAGGTGATTTTGAGGTACCTTCCTCTCGTGAAGATGTGGATAGTGACAAGGCCTGGAACCAATGGTTACGTGAAGAAATCCCAAGACTATTTGTTGATGCTTTAGAAGTGTTTAAGGCAAGTTGGATAACCCTGCAGGGAACAATTCATTGCTTTATCAATTGTTAAATATCAAGTCATCATTCTATTGCAGAACCATCCTCATTTCCCAGGACTCTCAGGAGTTACAAAGTTCTTCCAATTTGTTCCACTGAAAGAAGAAATTCTGGATTTTTTCACCCCAGTTGCTGAAATCATCCTCAGATATTTGCAGGGGATGGATTGCCTTCCAGTTACGAAAGTTGTTGAAGATGTGAGCAAACAAAGGTTAGAGATTGAGCAATTGATAGTGGTAGTCTGTTTTTGTTATCTTGTTTGTTTGCTAGTGTTTGTTTGTTCTCCTGTCAGTGTTGGTTTTCAGCCATGTAAAGTGTGTTTGTTGTTGTTGTCTTGTTTACTAATGTATTCTTAGTGTTTGTTCTCCTGTCATTGTTGGTTCTCAGCCATGTAAAGTGTGTTTGTTATTGTTGTCTTGTTTACTAGTGTATTCTTAGTGTTTGTTCTCATTGTTGGTTCTCAGCCATGTAATGTGTGTTTGTTATTGTTGTCTTGTTTACTAGTGTATTCTTAGTGTTTGTTCTCCCTGTCATTGTTGGTTCTCAGCCATGTAAAGTGTGTTTGTTGTTAATGTCTTGTTTACTAGTGTATTCTTAGTGTTTGTTCTCCCTGTCAGTGTTGGTTCTCAGCCATGTAAAGTGTGTTTGTTATTGTTGTGTTGTTTGCTTACTAGTTTATTCATGGTGTTTGTTTGTTCTCCCTATCAGTGTTGGTTCACAATATGATTGGATGCAACCATGTAGAGTTGTGGTTTGTGAAGACCCAGACATTGTGGCAGTGATTTCTCCAGAACTTCTCTACAGACACTTGGCCCTGCATTACCTGGCGCCTGACCTCATCTCTACTATCAACCCTGCTTTGAGAGAAGAACTTGGTATCACAACATTATCTGTTAAGCACTTAATTGATGTTGGAAGGTCTGTAATTAAAGGGGACTTATCAGGAACAACACAAGACAATGCAAAGAGAGTTCAGTGGATTTCTCAGTGGCTGTGCTGTGTTTATCGCTGTCTTGAAAGGGAACATAACAGTAGTTCGGAGATACTGGAACAGATTGCTGCTTTGAACATCTTCCCTCTCAGCGATTACACATTTGTAAACCTGAGAGACAATGCCATCTTCTTTCCTCTCTCCACAAACCAGCAAACAATGAAGCAAAAGAAAAAACGTAAGTCACTAGTAAAACATAGGTTGGTGTCATGATTATAAACTACATTTTTCTCCAACAATGAGGAATTTATTTCCGAACTATCCGGCAAAAGCGCACATCTTAAGACGATTTTCAAAATACAATAATTAATGCAAAACAAGGTTTCAAGGTTCAATATACAGTATAATGTTCGATATAAATAAAATAGATATATATAACTTTTGCCCCAATTACAATTTGGCTCTTGTGTCCATAGTGAAAAAAGTAAAAACCTTATCGAGTAAACATTTGTAATTACTGTTATTAAAGGGTCCAGTGCCAAATACCTCCAAGAGCTCGAAAAAGATCTTTTGGTGTTGAACCCTGAGCTATTAGACCACTTAGAGAATGTGGGACACAGCCAAGTGGAAAAACTACTGCAGCAATTGGGTGTAAAGAGCTGGACGGCCAAAGATGTCATCCATAACCACATACTGCCAACTTTGAAGTCTGATAAATGGAAGGTTGGTTTTATTTGGCACAGAAATGTAATGTACTACTAGCTAGCACTGTAATCATAATCAAGGACTTACCAATTTACTCTTTCACGTAGGAAAAGACAAATGAAGTACTGCAGTGTTACTTGGTATATGTGTTCACGGAGCACATGTCAGATAGGACACTCTGTGATCTAGATGAACTGAAAGGTTGTGCTCAAGTCTTGACAAACAAGGGACCAGTAAACCCAAGCAAAACTCCAGTGCATTTTACGAGCAAATATGGAAATCACTTGAATCTTAGTAAAGATATTCCAAGTAAGTTGAATTAGGGTTTGGCTTCTATGGTCCTATCTTTGGTAGTGCACTTGCCTTTCACCTCTTTCAAACCCGGATAGTTGGTCTTCCCTTGTTCCTGGCATTGTCCTGGAAACAATAATCAAGTGTGTTAATATTGTTTGTTCACCAGGCATCTCTTGGACCCTCATTAGTGACTGCTATCTGCATGAAACCCCAGAACACCACGTACAGGAATGGGAAAAGTTTTTCTCTGCTCTTGGTGTTCAACATTTTCTGGCCATAGAAAGAAGGCATGTCAAATTGAACAAGATAACAATTGTAAGTAATTACAGTTATGAAACTGGGCCATGTCTTAGATTTACCAGTAAATTATCAGTCAGCTCACAATCAACATTTTTGTTGTAAACTATTTGCAGGATTCCTCACCTTGGGCTCCATATTATGAATCATGGCCAAAGACATCTGATGGTGTATATGTGATTGAAGACTTCTGCTGCGATGAGTTGGATGAGTTCATGAGTAAAAGAGTAGACCCACAACAAGCTAAGGTCGTTGCAGAAAACCTTGACAAACAGTGGACAAATCACTACTCGAAGTATGCAGAAAAAATACCACTGAAAGATGGGGATGGAAAAGAACTTTATGGCCACAGCACTCTATCGTCATTCTTATTGACCTTGAAAACCAAAGATTGGCTTCCTGTGTTGCAGTCTAACACATGTAGTGTGCCCAGTGAACTATACCTTAACGGTAAGGAAGTGTACGACGTTTTGGATGACCATGTACAATATGTTGGTGCAAATCTACAGGACTCATCCTTTGCGAGGACCCTGGGCATAACTTCGATCATAACACTGGATGATCTTCTTCATAACTTGATAGAATGGTCCAAAACCTCCCAGTCGAAGGTTGCTGATCAAGGAAGGGGCTTTGTTACATCACTTGCACATATGAAAAGAGTTTATCAGTTTGTTCATGAAAAGTTTGAGACATCTACAAGTGATGATAAATCCAAGATCACCAGTGTCTTTCAGAAGAATCCATTAATTTTCTTTCCGCATGATTCATTCTTGGCCAAAGAAAAGCAAGATCAGAAGCAAGTGGGTGAGTTTCATCACAAAAAAGAAGTGTGCTGGAAAGATCCCTCTGATGTGACGCATGAGCTTGTCAAATCAAGGAAATACACTGCTAAACGTCAAATTCTCTCTACTTGCTACAGCAAATACTATGACTTCTTCAAATGTTGTTTGGAAGTGGACCTCACTCCACATTCAGATGAGTATATTGAAATGGCATCTGTCTTGGTCAATGAAAACCCTGTACCTACTCCATCAGTGCTGAAAATGATGATTGAAATTTTTGCTGTACTTGGTGGAAAGTGTTTGAAAAGACAATTGACAGAGACGAACTATACTCGTGTTGACAATGCCAACTATGCTCACACTGAACTTGATTTGGAAGAAGAAGAGATCAGTCCTGCTATTGCTGAATATTTGAAATCAAAACTTGCAACAGAAGATATTTTCCCTTGTGCTACTCGATGGGTATCCCTGTCAGTTAAGCCTGTAGTAGCTGATGACAAAAGCCTGAAAAAAGTCTTTGAACAAGAAAAGGGTGTTCACTTCATCGTACTAGAACATCGCTCACAAAAGACAAGACGACATGTAACAAAGATTCATGTTCATGAAAAGAAAATGGGATTTGTGCAAGTTTTCTTGAGAGCTTGTGGTATTCCCAAACTGAGTGCCTGTGTTGAGGAGTCATTGACAACCAATACAGTTGCATATCAGTGTCCTGAAGTTCAGCAGTACTTCCACCAAATTGTACCTTGTGTGCAAAGATACATCTATCACCAAATACCTGAATTGTATTCCAAACTTGTGGGAAACAAGTTTCCCGAGAGGCTTGCTGAAACTACTTTCGCCATTGCTGACAAATTAGAAGTAGTATATCATTTGAGACATCTGCCACAAGTGACTGTTGTACAACAAACAAAGTGGGGTCATGAAAATCATGAGAACAAGATTTTCTTTTATGCAGTTAGCAATCAGATGGAAATAGCTCAACCATTAAATCGAGAAATTGCAAAGCTTTTTGGTGCTGGAGGAACAGTTGTTGATAAGAAGTTTGAAAATTTTCTTGAACTGCTTCGAATGAATCTGGAGAATGATCTTGAAACTTTTCTATTCAATCAAGATGTTGAAAGTTTGCCAGAGGAAGAAGAGAAATGGTATGTTCCAGCACCAGAAATTCCAGAAACCCCAGAAATTGTTGAAGAAGACCTATTTGAGCCAGTTTTTCACACTGAAAAAGCTTCCTCCCGAGAATACGAAAATGATGGAGCTTTACACAGCTGGCCTCCACGAGCTCCTGTCTCTGGAATTAATAGCAGATCTTACCCCAGTGAGAACAGACCACAAGAAAAATCTCTAGAAATGTGGCCCGAACCAGAGCCACCTAATTCAATTAAGAACCAGATAACCACAGATAAGCCACTTCCATTGCAGACAAACAAACACCCTGCAGAATCATCCAGTGATAATAATGATTGTCAAACAACAGGTGGAGTGGTTTTTATGCATGATGTTGGTACAGATGCCAAAGGTTTAGTTTCTCATCAGCACAAACCAGAAATTACCTCCGGAAATGTTTCCCAACAAAAGACAGTAGCATTAGATGGAAGTGTTCAAAAAGATCCAACAAATCCTCAGATAGATTTAGAGAAGGAAGATAAAGCATCAGGAGAACAACCAGTACAAGCTTCACATCTACGCAACACTGTTAAAGCTGAGAACGTTTCTACTGCTATATTTACACCTGACATGAAAGTGATTGTGCAAGATCTAGAATTTGAAAACTTGCCAACTGAAGATGTATGCCTGCCAGATGTGTCTACCCTTCGTCAGAATCCAAACAAGGATGAAATTGGTCGTTGGGGTGAGGAGTTTGTTTATGAATATTTAAAATATTCACTGAAACCAGGTGATGAAGCTTCTATGATTAACATACAGTGGATAAATGAAAAGCAAAATTCTGTTGCTCCATATGACATTGAAATCAGGGAAAAGGGTAACGGTCAAACCATCACTTTCATTGAAGTTAAAAGTACTTCTGGTGAAGATAAGGAACACTTCGAAATTTCTGCTGCAGAACTCAAGTTTGCTATCGAACAAAGGGACAAGTTCCATTTGTATCGGGTCTTCAACGCTTGCTCAAGGGAAAATATACGCATTCAAAGAGTTAAGAACCTTGCCGTACATTTAGAGAACAAGTCAGTTAAACTTTTTATGATTCTTTAAATACTACTATGGAACTGATGCAATTCTTCATTTCATCTTATATGTTTTTTAACACTACAACCACCCAAGAGTTTTGCCTGAGGAAAACACCCAAAATCCATCAAAATCATAGGCTTTAGACCATGGGTCTTATTCACGCGGCAGCCATGTTGAATTGAACAATAGATTCCACCACGCGTAGCCTCAAATTCAAGCGCTTGAGAATTAATTGATGCTGGGGAAACAAAGGTTTTTATTCTCATGAGAATCAACATGGCCGCCGTGTGATAAAGGCCCATGCTTTTTAGCCAAAATTGTCGATTTTTAACATTTTTTGAATAATTCGCATAACTTTTGACAAGGTGTCAGAAACACCAAAAATCCATCAAAATCATAGGCTTTAGACCATGCTTTTTAGCCAAAAATGTCCATTTTTAACATTTTATGAATAATTCGCAAGGTGTGAAAAAGATTCAAAATCCATCGCAACCATTGGCTATAGTCCATACTTTGTCGTAAAAAAAGCAATGCATTTGAATAATTTATGGATAAGGCATGAATTTGACAAAGGTGCGAAGAAATCCAAAATCCATCAAAAATATTAGCTATAGTCCACGCTTTTTCACCAAAAATGTTCCATTTTTAACGTTTAACGTCATTAGTTAACGAATGAAGCCAAATACCCATGCATGGTTCCCTTGTATTCTTATCTTGGTTATCGGGTATCGAAAAATAAAGTTAAATAAACCAGGCTGACTTGTATTCTTATCTTGGTTAATGGGGAACAAAAAATAATGTTAAATAAACCAGGTTGACTTGTATTCTTAGCTTGGTTAATGGGGAACAAAAAATAAAGCCAAATAACCAAGGTTGACTTGTATTACCACTCCTAGGTGGACGGCTTAATGCCTAATTGATAAGGGGGTCGAAAGATCGAATTAGAATTTTTCAGTAGATTTTTGATTTCAGGGAGGAGAACTCGGAGAAAAATCCCTTGAAGCACAGGAGAGAACCAACAAACAACTCTACTCACATACAACACCGAGACCTGCAGGGCATTAGAAGCGCACGCCATTCGTGCTTCCCGTATTATTAGCTATTGGAAAACGAAAAATAAAGCTCAATAAACAGGTTTGACTTGTATTCCTAGCTTAGCTTGGTTATTGGGTATCGAAAGATAAAGCTCAATAACAAAGGCTGCCTGGTATCCTTGATTCCGGTTCAGGCGATTCGATTTTCGCCTACAACTCGTATACAACAAACTTGCGCCATCCTGCAACTCAAGTTGAAGCGTGTAAATCCAGCCTTCAACTCCCCTAAGATAGACGCGAGCGTGACAAAGGTCATCTTTTTCCTTACCGTGGTTATTTCGAAGCCAAAAATGAAGCTAAAATAACCAACGGTAATTTTTTTGTTACCTTGGTTATTTCGAAGCCAAAATAGGAAGCTAAAATAACGAACGGCGATTTTTTTGTTACCTTGGTTATTTCGAAGCCGAAAATGAAGCTAAGATAACCAACTGTGATTTTTTTGTTACCTTGGTTATTTCGAAGCCAAAAATGAAGCTAAAATAACCAACGGTGATTTTTTTGTTACCGTGGTTATTTCGAAGCCAAAAATGAAGCTAAAATAACCAACGGTGTTTTTTTTGTTACCTTGGTTATTATTTCGAAGCTGAAAATGAAGCTAAAATAACCAACGGTGGTTTTTTTGTTCCCTTGGTTATTTCGAATCAAAAAATGAAACTAAAATAACCATGGTCGTCTCTTTTCTTACCGTGGTTATTTCGAGTCCAAAAATGAAGGTAAAATAACCACGCTCGTCTCTTTTCTTACCGTGGTTATTTCGAGTCCAAAAATGAAGGTAAAATAACCACGCTCGTCTCTTTTCTTACCTTGGTTATTTCGAAGCCAAAAATGAAGCTAAAATAACCACGGTCCTCTCTTTTCTTACCTTGGTTATTTCGAAGCCGAAACCGACGCTAACACTTATTGGTGTTATACTCGGCCCTGAAGGGGTCCCCGTGGTTGACGTTGGCAGGGGGTGTGGGCGCCACCGACACCTTCCCCCAAACCCGATGCCGACTTCTGATGACGTAATTGGTGGGTCCCAGGTCCCAGAAACCGACGTTAACCCTTATTGGTGTTATACTCGGCCCGGCAGGGGTCCCCATGGGTGAGGTTGGAAGGGGGGTGTGGGCCTCACCAACCCCTTCCCCCAAACTCGATCTAGGTTTGTGATGACGTCATGGCTGGGTCCCAGGCCCCAGAAACCGACGCTAACCCTTATTGGTGTTATACTGGGCCCGGCAGG